CTGATAAAAGTAACAAAAAAAAAACGAAGACGTTCAATACATTCGTCCTCAGTAAATCTACCTGAGGAATCAAGAATGAAAAGTTGATCCCGAAATCAGCAACCGGACGTAATCGGATTGGTTCAACAAAGCAAATGAAACTGAAACCCTAAAAACGAAGATCGATAGCGGAAATAATTGGTAATGAATAAGGGGCGCATGTACGTAATTTGGGGGGAGAAAGCAACGTCTGTTAAACGAGAGGACGAGCCTTTGGGCGTTAATAAAGTTGAAATTTGGGGATTAATATGTAAAAAGGTTATTTTCACCTTATTTGCCTCCCATATTTTCTTTTATTTATACATGCAGCCCCTAGAGAAAAAAATACGGAAAATGGCTAAAATTACCCCCTTAACGTATTCGTATTGAAAATGGCTCAAAAATATACTTTGTTAACCTTTTGATCTAAAAATACCCTTAATATTTTATTTTTGGCTCACATATACCCTTAACATTTTATTTTTGGCTCACATATACCCTTGAAACTAACAAAACAGGATGATAAATTTTTTGCTCACCTTCCATCAATATACCATATATTTTTTATATGTATTTTATACCACATATATAAAATACGTATATACATCATAATACATGTAAACAAACAAAATATACCATACATATTCTTTAAAGTTGTGTATTTTATACTTTATATATACTACTATTATATAATTTATCACATATCTATATATAATAAAAGGAGAGACAAAAGCAAATTATTAAGACAAGTGACATAACCACAAAAAGTCAATTGGCATTATTAAGACAAAACAAACTAGTACCTTTTTAACTAAAAAACCTTTTTAAATTTTGAATTAATTGGTAACTCTATTTGAATTAATAATTAATAAATATAGATATCTTATAATTAGCTATATTAAAAAAACGAAAATATAAAAACAATAACTACTCATTCAAATTGGGGAGTAATTTCAAGTTGGAGTTTTAAAAATATATTAAAAAAATAAATAAAAAAGTAAAATTAGCTATAATAAAAAATGAAAATATGTTGTATATATATAATTTATATATGTGGTATAAAATACATATAAAAAATATATGGTATATTGATGGAAGGTGAGCCAAAAATTTACCATCCATGTTTTGTTAGTTTCAAGGGTATATATGAGCCAAAAATAAAACGTTAGGGTATATGTGAGCCAAAAATAAAACGTTAAGAGTATTTTTAGACCAAAAGGTTAACGGATGGCACTTTTGAGCAATTTTTAATACGTTAAGGGTATTTTTGGCCCTTTTCCGAAAAAAATATGATGAAGATGGAAGAAGAGCACAAAATGAAACAACTAAGGGTGTGTTTGGTATGAAGGAATTTCCAATTTTCTCATGTTTGTTTGACCTAAATGTTTTGAAAAATATTTTCCCTATTAAGAGAAGGGAAAACATTTTCCAAAACTCTTCTCAATCTTCCCCATCCCCACCAACACACCCCCACACCACACCACCACTCACCCAAAAACCGTCCTACCCCTACCTACCCACCCCATCCCCACCCTAAATAAAAATATTATTAATAGTACTTTCTTTCATGTTATAGATAGATTTTTTTTTTCATTTCAACAAATGAGTATTTTTTTTTCATGATATAAAAAAGTATTTTTTTTATTTTAACAAAAAAAAGTACTTTCTTTTCATTTAGTAAAAGTATTTTTTTCATTTCAACAAAAAAAAATTCTTTTCATGTAGAAAAAGTATTTTTTTTTCATTTCAACAAAAACATATTTTCTTTTCATGATGTAAAAAAAGTATTTTTTTTCATTTCAACAAAATGAGTATTTTCTTTTCATGATGTAAAAATTTATTTTTTTTTTCATTTCAACAAAATGAGTATTTTCTTTTCATGATGTAGAAAAAGTATTTTATTTTATTTCAATAAAATGAGTACTTTATTTTCATATTGTAGAAAGAATACTTTCTTTTTTCAACCAAAAAAGGAGTATTTTCTTTTTAGTTATTAAGCACAAATTTCAACGTTATTTTTGCGTTAAAAAGTAAAACAACACATTAGTTCTTTTGATTGTGTGAATTTTTAGAGACTTGGGGGGAGGGGAAGGAGAGTAGCATAAAAATATATAAATTCCTACAAAAAATATTTTTTACTTTCGAACCAAACACTAGAAAATATTTTACAGAAAATATTTTTCATTCACCAACCAAATAAGGGAAAATAAGTGATAAAACCACTCATTTTCTATGAAAATATTTTCTAATATTTTCCTTCATACCAAACACACCCTAAATATATTTACTTTTCTATAGTCCAATTTCCCGATGGTCAGAGCCAGATAGTCTGAATATTGATGGATAATATCTGACTTTATTTGCACATAGTTCGAATGAATAATGTGTGTTTCAATGGCAGAGCCAGAACTTTTATTAAGGGGAGTCAAAATATAAGGAAATAAGCTCATCAAGAAGTCAAGGGGTGTCATTATATAGTATATATACATATTTTAAAAAATATTATCGAACTAAACAGTGTAATTTTCCGACGAAGGGGTAAGATTGATACCCCTTAGTTGCATGTGGCTCCACCACCAGTGTGCTTCACTCACACATTACTTATTGGCTTTTATTAATAAACTAAAGTATTAAAGACAAAACATAACAATATCAATTATATAAGTAGTTAGTACGACAAAGAAGATCGATAAAATTATAACGGAAAAGGGATATTTATATCTTTCTACTTTGAAATATTGTGTAAAAGAACCATTTATTTCACTATCTGGCCTCTAGGGTCCCTACCGTCATAGTTCCAGTCACAAATATTCCTGAACGACTAACTCACCCCAAACAAAATAAACTTATATATTCCGTGAATCGTTTCGTTACCCGACCCAATACCCTTTTAATTAATTATACCCACACACAAATCATATCACATTTTCACCTAACATTCCGCCTGAACCAAAAATAATCCCTCTTCTTTCTCACTACAATGTCGGCTTGTTAGTAAGGCACGAGGCTTTTCAGGTAAAATCTTCGGCTGGTTATGTCATTTTCTCTTACATCTGTCATTTATTTCAATATTTTGGGGTTAGTGGTATCCTTTTTAAACCACTATTAGTTGACTTTAGGGTTTTTAAATATTATTTCAAATGAAAATTTATGTGTTTGGATGTGTGTATTCCTAATATTTTGTTGTTTATTGTGTCACTTTGGTATTTATTTTGTATGCATGTGCTTTTAACATGTGGTCCCGAAATGGTGGCTAGGGTTTAGTGCATTTCGGCTTTTGTTTATTAGTTTGGACACCTTTATGTTAAATAATTATTTCATAAGTAGGAAGATGGGTTCTTTGCTCCCTTTGTACATGTTGTTTGTCAACAAGTATTTGATTTATGTCGGGTATGTGTGTAAAAATATGGTTCCCTTTCAAAAAATTTAATATGCACCAATCATTAATATGGCCCCTTGTTGGTTTGTTGGTTCTGAAGTACTTGTATGTATCTTTATAGAAGTGGCTCCTTGTTGTTTTATTTATTTTCAATTGATGATGTATCTATCTAGATGGGGTCCCTTGTTGGTTTTGTTTATTCCTGTGGTTCCTATTTTCAGTTATTTTATTTAGTATTTTGCTTTCTTCTTTTCAATATTATTCAGATTATTAATATTGTTTACTTAATTATTTTTAGGTTATTAAAATAGTTAGTGTTGACATGAGGTTCAATCATGATGGTGAGTGGCTCAAGGAACCACATCTCCTCTACAGCAAGAAACTATGGGTAGCTAGCGAAGTGACCTCATTTCAAACTTGAATTGGCCAAGTGACCTTCAAGTTTTAATTTCTGTATGATTGACCTTCATGCTTAAGTGGGACTATAAAATAAAAGGGGGAAGTTCGGTCTTTATCCTTAAAGTTTCACTTATTACACTTTGATCTCAACCTATATAATTCTAATATTATCAGATTTAAAAAATAATTCCATCCCTTCACGCGTCATCTGCCATCCCAATCCCCATTTCTCAGGCTTATTCTTCCATTGTAGCTTGTTTTTCTTGCATTCAACACACATAGGTCGTCTTCCTTCTTCTCCATTCCTCTCAAAGTTTCATTCTTTTGATTTATCATTTACGGAGAAGAAATCAAAAAATTGGGGG